CTATGCCACGCGGTGTGACATTTATAACGCGCATCGTGTAGCTTGGCATCGGTGCAGGCCACCTGAATGGAAAACAAAACAAGATGTGATGACGGTGGTACAAACAAAGCTGTAACACATGGCATCAATATTTTTATAAAAGAAAAGAAAAGAAACAAAATGCCTGTTATAATTGTTCTCTTTCAGCATCTCCACAACCATAGTTTTTGATAGTGTGCTGCCATCTCTTCGTCGCTTTATCACAACCTAACAATATAGAGATTGTAAATAAGAAGCGATAATTTTATGAAAAAGGAATATGACAAAGAAAATAGAAAAGAACCAGGGATATGACGATATCCAGAAACATATCTTCTGGACAGACAAACTAAATACCTCAATTTTCATGTCTCCATCACAACCTCCAAAGGATTCAACATGGGCCACCGCAGCATCCAATAACATTGAACCAAACTAATGAACACATTGTGAATTTATATTGATTAGTAGAAAAAGCAAACAACCACACAAAATCATAACAATAAGCCAGGGGAAACATAGTTACCTCTGGAGCAGTCAGAAGAACTTTTTCACCGCATTTTACAATAACATCACCGACACATAACCCAGCAACATCAGCAGGTGATCCCTCAACAACCTAATTAGCAGTTTATTCGATCCATTTTATACAAACATGCTACTGAAGAAACTATATAATAAGACAGAAAATAAATAAATAAACATAATTCCGATATTGCATTTTTTGGAATTCAAAAATCTATATGGATATTGTGAAAATAGTATATTAAAAACCGACAGGTGCACGGTAATTCAACATACAATTCACTAACTTCCAAAGCAAATCTACTGAAAATATAGTAAATAAAAGCACGCTCTTATCTGTAGGAATGCTTTATGACTAAACAAATGCCTCCTGCTATCTATTTTTCTTACCATCTCCATAAGTTATGTCATCAGTTCAACTCATAAAATTCATGTTTTCCCTTCTCCCAAAGACACCTCCAGCATGCCTCATTCAAATCCTCACATTACATAACCATCAGGGCAACCATTCAAACACCCCTAGCAAGTAGCGAGGATCAATCAAGCAGCAGAATGCGACCAGAGAGTAAGGGATTTAACTCTGCACCTTCACACCATCATATTTCAATATGTTCTCATGTTTTTTCTGTTTCTTTTCGTTAAAATCGCAGAGTTGCATCAACTTTGCCGATAGTTTTGGTACAATACTCCCTCTAGTCCTTTTTACTCCGCATATTAGATTTGTCTAAAGTCAAACTTTGCTAAGTTTGACCAAATTTATATGAGAAAATATTAACATCTAAAATACCTAATAAATATAATATGAAAATATATTCCAAGATAGATCTAATGAACATAATTCCAATATGAAAATATTAACATCTAAAATACCTAATAAATATAATATGGAAATATATTGGTGTTGTTATGTGAATGTTAATAATATTTTGTATAAACTTGGTCAAACTTTGAAGAGTTTGACTTCAGATAAACCTAGTATGCAGAGTAAAAAGGACCTGAGGGAGTATATTGTTAGACAAGGCCATTAAGCTCCTGACAATTTGGTATTCAAGGTATACCACTAAACTCCCCTTCCCAACCCATCAACTTCCATGCTAAAAAATGGCCTGAAGCCAGCAATTACTGTACGTGATTGCTTTCGGAGTTTTCTCTTATGTAATTAAATTGGTACCAACAACTATGTTTACCGAAACGTGCGGCCGTTGCCATGTTGCTATGCCTGCCTCCATCAATGTAATTTGAGGTAGGACAGCTAGTAGATCCTGCACTGGAATTTGAGGTAGGTGATTCAGATTTTTCTTCTTCATCAAAATGTAACGAGGAGAGTAATTGGTTTCAGTTTTTTCCCTTTGTTATTTTTGCCTACAACATTGTACATATACTTTTCAGCAAGTTATACATATATTCTTTTTAAGATAACAAACACGCCATGTAATCAGCTGCATTCCAATTCCTAAAGAAGCTTCTTTTGTGATTTCCCTTTATTGTGCATGGAGATTGCCATGCACTACTGAATAAGAAATTTTACATGTTTCCTTTCATCAGCAGCACGATTTTGTTCAATGGTCTAAATATACAGATACTGCTACTCAAGGTCAAACATTCTGTGATCTGTGGAATTGATCAAAGCAAAGCTAACCATTAATTTTCAAGCCTGATGAAGAAGGTATTAGTGTGCGGCGAAGAATGAAATAGCATCAATGACATGTAAGACTACGTAGCAAGTTATTGGCCTGAAGTACCACATGCCGTCAAGTTTAACAGCTCACCTTTATGAGACACAGAATGGGAAGAAATAATTGGGTCATAAATTCAATTTGTCTTTCACCGGTCTATGTTAAAATCTTAGCCAATACCATAAATCTCTTATAGAGCCCCTTCCATGTTCTTTAACTTCTTTTACACATTTCTTCCCTCATTTCCTTGCCTATTCGTGCAACTTCTAGACTGTACGTCTTGGAAGGAAAAACTTAGGCAAAATTTAATATCTCCGTGCTTAGATATTTATACTACTTTCGCAGATCCAACATTTTCTGTTTGGCCCGCGGCAATATTAATGCATGAGCTACAAATTAGTACTCCCTCTGTCTAGTGTCAAAAAACGTCTTATATTATGGGACAGAGGAGTACTAATTAATGAGGAAATCCTAATTGGATGAGCAACAAAGAGTTTCCATCAAGCAGCTAAATGCTTGTTGTAGCAGCCTATATTTCAGCATCACCTACGGAAAAATTCTGATTTGATATGCCATTCCGAAATATCAGACTGGCACCAATCAAACACTATCCAACCTTTCAGAGATATAAATCAGTCCGATGCGAACGATCTGTATTGACACTGCTGTCTGCATAGCGGTGCTTGAGGAGCATTGGCACACTAACATTGCTGTAGCCTTTCAAGCGATCAGCATGCTGCTGTGTGACTATGCCTGGCAACAGAGCTATTCCAGATGGCAACAGGGCTATTCCTCAGCTTCCTTTTATGTTTTCAGGGGAGATCTTGCTTCCACCACCATCCCCACCAACAATTTAGCGGGAAACAGGGCCTGATTATAAGAAACTAAATCAAATAACATTGGCATTAATATATTATCAAATAGGAACATAACATCTTTATATTATTAAGTATGTAGAGGCCAATCCTGTACAAACCCAATCCACTATTAAGAACGTGTCTAACATTTGAGCTAAAGATGACATCATGCAATGCCTGTCAGTTTACTCTAAAACTGGAAGGCTCATATTCTAAAGAGGAAATTTTTGACATACAAATAAGATAAATAAAGCATAAAAGAATTAAAAAAATACAAGAGATACATACCTTTGAAACATATAAACCTTGGTCAACATCTGGGAATTTTCGATAGATACGCTCCAGGGTTGCCAGTGACACCATATGAAGAGAAGTATACCTTAATCCAAGCCAAGGGCTAATTAATTTCCTGCACAATAAGAAAAAAATTCTTATTTGACACATACTCAGCCAAAATAAAAAGGAAAAGGTAAGTAATAAAGAACAAATGACAAGTCCATTTTCCCTAATATGAGTGCAAAGGCAAAACATATAATAGAAAAAGAATAAGTAGAAGTATCACAACTAGAATAGTTTACCCGAAGCTCTGATGTTGTTCCAGGATCCTTGAAACAATTAACATTGGAAGGTATGATGTTTGATTGTCTTCATAGAAGTTCATACCGAGAACTTGACCATCGTAATTGACAAGAGGTCCTCCAAAACCAGCCTTCCAAAACAAAAAAAAAAATAATGGGGAAAAAAGTGTCAGCATAATCAAGAAAAAAACAAATAATTTGCTAAGTCTCCTGGGGCCAATTGGGCAGCACCATGGATGGTGGATTAGCCAGTTCAGATTCAGCTCATCCCTCATTATTTTTTGCTTGTGTGTGTGGTGGGGTGGGGGGTCAATAATTTCATCATGGAATATGTTCAAAAGAGATCACTTCCTTCTGTCTTACAGATTGAAGGAGTACCATTCTTCATGATTGCCTAGTTTCACTAAATTGAGATTACAAATAACAAAACAAGAAAGAATCAGAACTATGGTAAATTAATTAGACTATTCCTCTTTCTTAGGTTTTATTAATTTGTTATTAGTTCAATCTAGGTTTGTGCGGTACACAGGTCATAACTATATGAAAAGGGGTCAATAAGAAAATAATATAAAGTAAATGCGATATATATTATACCATGGATATCTCGCAGCTTGACACCAATAGCTCCAAACACCCAAAAGTGCTTTTTTTGTTTAAAGCTTGACCCCGTGAACACATGATATAACCACCTTCATATGCACGTCCAAGTGCTAATACAACTCCATTGTTGGTAGTGCCTTCTTCTAAGAGTGGTAAATCAGTTGCAACTTTGACAACAGCTACATTATAGTGAAAATCCACAAGAAGGATATGGCCATCGGTTATACGCCAATCAGGTAGAAGCACCTTGACCTGAATCACTTATCAAAAATAAATAAATAAGGACAAACTACTAAAAATGCATCTACAGATCGACTTGGCAAGGATTAAGGCAACAGTTACCGTCACGTCAGAGATCACATTGTTATCTCCATTCAGAGATCTAACAAGTGTTGCTGAGGTTAAAACCATATTTGCATCGGTATCGCCTTTTCTGCGCATCACAAATCCTGAGCAAACCCGGATCCTCTTTCCACCTAAACTTTATTAACAACACCTTATTGAGGATTCAGTGCAAACCAAATATGGAAAAAATGGCTACTAAGTAAAGCTATGATATACGTATATACCTGCAAAAGAAGACAGGCTGACGATTGACTTTGAGACCAACAATGCAACTTTACGAGCCTGGAGACTCTCAAGGCTGCCATCATTGCAGTCACCAAATGTATCCTCCACAGAAAAGTCACTTTCCCCGTTGAGGCGTTTAACTACGATATGCAATTCATAGCCATGGATAAAGTCAGATAGAAAGATGTGTCTGATGCCCAATTAGAGTAAATGATTATGCAGAGATAACAGATTAACCGTCCAAGTCTTGCTTTAGTTTTCGAGACTAAAGCCTACTGCATATGATTGATTGATGACATGCTGCCGTGAAAAAATATCATGAAAATGTTTTAGCAAGAGAACCTTTTCCGCATATGAAATGTCTGACACACTCATAATCTGATTAGGTGCTTTCTGATACAGTCATCAACAATTACAAGTAGAAATACTAATTAAAGGCATACTGAGAACATATTGGTTTTTTAGATGGTTCGCGAAATACTAAAAGCATGCTGAATGGAGATAATAATGTGATCTGTGATCTACGGCAAGCCTACTAAGGTGCTTCGGATAAGAAAATCGAAAGGCGCTCTGAATTCACATAGACGAGTTATTGGTTTTGAATTAATTTTGTACTCAATCAGAGAATGTAATATAATTATCACCCCATGTACACACTAATGCTCATCTACAACCAAACACCAGATCGATTGGTTCAACTTCTCATGATGAAGGAAGGATGTGAGAACAAATGAAGAGTGAAACATTCCACAATATCTAGTGTTTTTCCTTGAAAAGACGTGCGGAAAGATAAACAGATCCAAGGAAGAAAAAAACAGATAGCAGTTACTGTATTTCTTACGTAGCTCGGCAGTTTCTTTCTCCCTGGCGTCACGGACGGCAAGCATATGCCGCACCTGCTCGCCCACCATGGCCCTGACCTGAGCCGACCGTTCGTCGTCGCTGGTGGTAGCGCGGTGCTCCTGGGATGGGGCAGGTGGAGGTGGAGGCGCAGGCGCAGGCGGCGTAGCCTTGGCGCTGCTCCGCTTCCTCTTCCGCCTCCTCTTCCTATCCTTCTTCCCCGGCCCCGTCTCGCAAGCGACGCGCCGGCCCTCCTCCCTGCCGTCGGCACCGTCGTCGTCAGACTTCATGTCAGCACCGCAAGGGGTGTCAGGAACAGCTAGCCGCAGAGGCTAGGGAGGGCGATTAGGGCTTTGAGGATCGTGGATCGGGGCCGGGGGTCGAGGGCGTAGGGGGAACCGGGGAAGCGGTGGCTGGTGGACGGTGCGGCGAGGCCGGGGCGGTGGCGACGCGTGCTGATCGAGGAAGAGACGGGTTACCTCGACGTGTTTGGAGGGCCAATCCTCTCTATTCCCCGCGTTACATGGGCCGGCCAGTTTACAGGTTTACATTGTGTTTTTTTCAACAGGTTTTGCATGGTTCTAGAAAACCGATTTTATATGTTTTTCTTTCCTGATTTCACCGGTTTTTTAACATCGCTTACAATAAGAGGAATAACCACATCCGGGGCGGTGTCCATCCAGATATTTGGACGAGAAAATCTAGCTATCCTAGCCAGTTCATGACTTACTTGATTTCTTTCTCTATTGCAATGATCATAGATGACATGTGTAAAATCAAGCGACATAAAATAATATTATTCATCAAAGATAGAAGCTACTGAAGAAGAGTAACCGTCAATTAGCGCAGCAACAACCTCCACACCATCAGAGTTGACCTTGATCTTACTGCATCCAACTGTATATGTCAGGTTCATTCCAAAACTCACTGCAGCCTCCGCCGTGAATGAGTCAAAGCAAAGATCAATCTTTTCATTTTGTAGCTGCAATGAACTCTCCATGATGGTCTCGGATGACCGCTCCAACAGTCCCCTCAAGCGTGTCCACATCAAAACCTGCATCGATGTTTAACTTGACATAGCTATATCTTGGTTTCAACCAAGTGCCTGATCGCACTTTGGCCTTAGGACTGTATGAGATAATATAGTTAGCGGCTAAACATCTCACTACCATATTAATTTGAGCAGCGTTTTGTGTTTCTCCTTCATGTGTCAACTTTCAAGGATCGTGGGGCAGGGCTGAGGGTCGAGGCCGTAGGGGGGACCGGCCAACTGGGGAAGTGGTGGCTGGTGGACAGTGCGGCGAGGTGGGCGATGGTGAGCAGGGAAGAGACGAGTTACGTCAACGTGTTTGGAGGGTCAATCCTCTATTCACCGAGTTACATGGGCCGGCTTGTTTACATATTTCAGCAGGTCTTGGAAGGTTCTAGAAAATCAATTTTACACATTTTTCTTTCCTGTTTTTACCAATTTTATTATTTTCTAATTAAATTTTATTTTTTGGAAAAATAATTCTTGAACATTTCTTAAATTTGGGGAACATTTTTAAAGTCGTGAACATTTTTATAAATTAATGAATATTTTTAATTTCCTGGATACTTTTAAAATCCGGGAAAAGACTTCAAAATCCAATAATGTTTTTCGGATTCATCAAAATTTTCTAAAAGTCATGAAACAATTCTAAATTTGTGAACATGTTTCATGATTGTTATGGATATTTTGGAACTTTTTATATTTCATGAACATTTATTCAATTCATTATTGTTTTTGAATTCATGGACATTTTTAATTTCTTACCATTTTTTGGAAATTGTGTATTTATTTTTAATTAGTGACATTTTTTTACAAATTCGTGGAATTTATATATAAATATAAATATTTTTGAATTTTTGTTTCAAGAAATTTGAAACACTCGAAATGCATGCAAAAACGTAGCTATCAGCAACAGACGAATAAAACAAAGAAAAATCAAGCGGAATATGGGCAGGCACATCTAGAGCTCCTAGAGGGGAAGAATTTACACGTAACACGTTTGCACTATATCCTACACATAGCGCGTGGAACAGGAACACTCATGTTTGGGTCGATAACCAAAACATGTTTTGTTAGGGCATCTTCAGCAGTTGGCCCTTCAGGAGGGGCAAAAAATCGCTCCTGAAGGCGCACCGGCGCTAAACCGCGCACTGGAAGTGTGATGTCCCCCAGTCGCGGCCCCCCACGGGTTTTAAAAAAATTCAAATACGGCGCAAACACGACTCAAATTTAACACAAACTTCGGTGAGTTCGTACAAATTTAAACATACTTTACAAAAAAGGAAAAACTACCAAGGGCTACCCTCGCCGTCTCCCTCGCCGCCCGCCTCGCCGCCCGCCCACGCGGTTCTACATGTCGAGGAGGTGGTAGAACCGCGTGTAGTCACCATCGTCGTCGTCGTCGTCGCCCCCGCCGACGCCTCCGCCGTCCCTGCTGCATCCCTCCTCCGGTTGGCACGCCGGGTTGGACGGTCTGGGGGCGTCGTCGTCATCGTCGCTGAGGACCACGACGCCGTGCTCGTCCTCGCGCCCACGCTTGCGGGCAGCGATCTCCTCCAGGGCCCGGCGCTGCCGGACCATCTCGTCGTGGAGGTAGTCGTCCCGCGCCCACCGCAGGGCGTCCTCGTCGGAGAAGCCACGCTGGGCTATCTCCTCGTACTCCACGGGGAGGCCGGGCTCCGACTTGGGCTCCGGCTTGGGCTCGACGAGGATGAAGCGGCCAGTGGGGGAGGCGTTGTCGCCGATGCGGACGCCGGAGCTGCGGGTGCGCGCGCTGACAGGCGCGCCCTGGGGCTCCGGCTTAACGGGGCGGAGGTGGAGGCAGTGGGAGCCGCCGGACGAGGAGGAGGACCCCCCGGTCTCCATGCGCCTCGAGGTCCAGGAGCTTCCCCGGCGGCACGTGAAGGACGGGGGAGCGGGGTACTCGAGGCGCGGCGTGTTGCCTCCTTGATGTACTCGAGAACAGCCTCCAACGTGCGCCCGGGCACGCCCCACCACCGACGCCGGCCAACGGCGTTGAGCCTGCCGGAGGGCTCGACGCCGTTGGTGGCCTCGAGCTGCTCGGCGTGACGGCGGCGAAAGTAGGGCTCCCAGAGCGGGCTGTCGGGGACGTACCGTGGCCCCTCCCTCGCCACACGCGGCAGGGACGAGCGGATGCGTGCGATCTCCGCACGCCGCGTCGCGCCGGTGGGTATCGGGGGCACCGGCACGCTGCCGACGCTGATCCTCCACGCCCCGGGTACCCGCATGTCCGGCGGGACCGGGTACTCGGCCTCGAAAAGGAGGCGAGCCTCGCTCTCGTGAAGATGGCGGCGGCCGAAGTCGTTCGCCGCCCGCGCCGTCGCCTGGGAAGCGCTCGGCCAAGGGTGCTGGAGACGGCGAGGGAGAGGAGAAGGAAGAACGACGACGACGAGAGAGAAGCGAGGGAGGAACGGCGACGGCGAGAGAGTACGAGTCGCCGAGTGCTGTGGGGCGCGTCTTATATAGACCGAGGCGCCGTCCGTGCGCGAGCCGCCGTGAGTACGCGTGGCAGGCGAGGGAGGGCGAGGGACGCGCGTCATCCGGTCTTCACTGCGCCGCCCGTGAGGCATCAATGGCGCAGGCTGAGCGACGCGGCAGCTTTGGCATTGATTCGCCGCGGGAAACGAGGCGATGAAGACGACGAAGGGCCGAGAAGAGGGTAGAGTCGCTGACGCGGCGGGCCCGCGGCTATTTCGCGCCAAAACAGTTCGCCCCGGTGCCCCCGGGCGCCCCCCAGCGCGCCGGGTTCAGCCTGGGTCCGTCGGCGCTGTTTTCGACCCAAGCCGGCGAAAATCGGGCTCCTGGGGGCGCGACCGGGCCGATTTTTCGGCGCCAGCGCAAAAAAAACGCCTGAGGAGGCGTTCCTGGGGGCGCGGCTGGAGATGCCCTTAGTCTCACAAAGAAAAGATGTTTGGGACAACATTGGTGTTTGAGTGACATGCATTGCTCCCTACAAAAATACCGGTCGGATTATTTGATACTCCATCCATAAAAAAATATAAGAGCAGATCACTAAAGTAGTGATCAAAATGCTGTTATATTTTTTAAGAGGGAGTATATATTTTAAAAAATATTTTAAAATGTTAAAAATGTTCACACAACTGAAAACTATTTGTGAGTTTGAAACGTGTTCACAATATTTTAAAAGTTCATGAATTTGAAAAAAATGTGAACTCAAAAGTGTTCATGAATTCAACAAAATATGAATAGAAAAAATGTTTGAGAATAAAATCACAAGTTTGAAAAATATTTTTACTATTTTCTAAAATTTGTATGATTTTTTAAAAAGAAAAGGAAAACCCAACAAATAGAAGTAAAAAACGGCCCAAAGAACTGGACGGCACCACTTACGAACTAGCGTAGGAATGGGGGTATGTACTATGTACCAAACAACTCTATTTGGCATCTTAAGCGCCACAACATTTTCCCTACTAGACCTCATCTTATGCCTTTCTTTTCCTTGCTTCGAATTCTCTCTAACTCGAGTAATTTTGCTACCAACACAAAATACCCTAAGTTATCTCTACTATTAAAGGGGAGTC